GTAGTCGTAGTAGTATCAGTAGTAGTGGTAGTCGTAGTAGTAGCAGTAGTAGTAGTAGTAGTAGTAGTAGTAGTAGTAGTAGTAGTAGTAGTAGTAGTAGTAGTAATAGTAGTAATAGTAGTAGTAGTAGTAGTAGTCATAGTCGTAGTCTTAGTAGTAGTAGTAGTAGTAGTAGTAGTAGTAGTAGTAGTCATAGTAGTAGGGGCAATGGAGGAGGGGCGTACCAAAGAGACCATCTTATCACAAGCAGAACTGGTTTGTTCCACTTTGGAGTAAGCTGTTGAGGGAAGAATCAGTTTTGTTGTGTTTTTTTTTGACTGATGAAGCCTTCTGGATCGAAGGTGAAACGTTTCAGCACAACAAAAAAAGATGTCCAGATGACCTGACTGAAAAATGTTGGATTGTATACCTGGATTATTGAGCATGGACTTTGTTAGTAGCAGTAATATCCATGATCTATCTTTCCTGCTCAGAGTTGAAGGTGAGACGTGTCCGTCTGTCCTGTCTTTCTGCACCTCCCAGTGTTTCCCTATTCCTTGTGTTTTTGCTCCCATGCACACCTGGTCCAAATCCTAATCACTGCAGGTGTTTTCCCACCCGTCTCATTAGCATCTGTATTTAGTCTGTGTGGTTTCACTCCCCTGGTATCCCAGCATTATCTAACCTTTCCACTGTGTCATGGTGTGGCTCTTTGTGTCATCTCCCTCCTTGTTAAAGTAAGTTTTGCTGCCACGTCAGTGTTTTTGTTTTGTTTATTGAACATAAACTTTAATACTTATTTTACCTGGAGCCTCCTGCTCTCTGCCTGCACGTGGGCTCGACAATAACACCAGATCATGTCAGAAGGTAACTGCTCCGGAAGTCAATAGGTAAGAGGTGAGGTACTCAGTTATTTATTGTCTTACAAATGCATATGTTTATTTGAAAAAGAAATGTACCATTGTTTATGCAAATTGACAAAATCTGCAAAACCTTTGAAATCATCTCAAATCTAATCCACGTAAAAAGTTTTTTTTAAATGCCTTCTTGAGTAGTAGCTTTAAAAGAATTATACAGGAAAAGTTGTTTAATTTTTAAATGACTGAGTTATGTTTACACTCGTTTTAGCTAGCTACATACATTATAGGAAAATGACCATATCTTATCTTTTTCAACAAACAAACAACTTTATACCAATGGTCCACTTTGGTACACCACATTTCATATCTACCTAACTCCCTTAACAATGCAAAATGTTTAAATCTCAAAATTGTCATACAATTTTTTTAAACAAGGTTTACAAAAATAATCAGAACCAAAGTAGTTATTTCCAGTACGGTAATGATTGGCAAAAATGACTTGTGTACAACACACAAAGTCACATATTTGTCCCACCAAGTTTGGACATGCTCTTTGATTTATACAAAACTATTTTCTCATGTACAAATGTATTTGTTTTTAACTTTATTTTCAAGTTTGTTTCACAATACAAATGACTGCACTGAAATCTTTTACAGTATTTTGCATCCATCTGTTTGCATAGTTTCAGTTTAGTATTCATTTTACAGTCCAGTCACACACAAAAAGTAACTGTAACATCAGTGTTTTTGTCCTTCTCAGTAGAAGTAGTACCATTTAAACAACATGCTTCTTATTTTAATGTTGTAAATGTCAGCTAATGTCACATTAAACATATTTTAATGAACAGGTCTGAAAATTAGCCAGTGAATGTACTATAGCAGCACGGTTGTTTTCACTAACTTTTCACACAATAAAGGTAACAACTTTCTTTTGTTTCCAGTCTATATCCAGACCTCAGCACTCCTCTGTTTGGATCCCTCGACCTCCTTCTTACATTTTAAAAGCTGTCTCTCTCTTTTTTTCGAGTCATGTTTCTTTGGTTTTCCCTGTCTAGTCTCTCCAACTTCCACAAACTCCTTCAAACTATCAGAGTTTGCTGCACAGGTCCAGTCGTGCTGGTGACCCACTATCAGGTCCAGACTTGGCAAAGAAGTTGTGCTGGTCACTTCCTTAAAGCCAAAAGAAGACATGAGAGAGGGGCTGTCAGACAGGAATGGTTTGTACTGTCGTTGCATACCTGGACAACTTCTCCAGGCTGCTTTCTGCCTTAGCTTCACTGCTTGACGAATCTTTTTCCAGCCTAGGTGGTTTAGTTCAAGCAGGTTGAGCAAAATACAGAAAACACCTACACAGAACATGAAGAGCAGGAAAATAGTCTTCTCTGTGGGACGGGACACATAGCAGTCCACTGGCTGCCTGCAAGGGGATGAGGTGCAAAGAAAATGGACTGGCACCTTGAAGCCAAACAGCTTCCATTGGGCCAGAACGAACCCGACCTCCAAGACAGCACGCAAGCACACATGGAAAACATAACATTTGGACAGAACTCCACCGGACACAGCACTCTCTTCTCTGAAGGTGCAAGCTTTAGCTCGATCCAAGGATCCCGTGTTTTGGGGTTCTCCTTTATTGAAGCTTTGGGTGGTGATGCCCTGCATCACATCTGCTAAGCTGTGACCTAGATGCTTATGAGAGCGGATAGAGCAGCTGTCCGAGTCACAGCTCAAATTGTACGCTTCTTGTTTGCTGATTTGCACCGCGTCAGGGCCTTCCTTTTTGTGGATATTCTCTATTCCTTTCCCCAGCCTCTGAGGGGTGTTGTGAGGCTGCTTGGACAGGTTGTGCCATGTGTAAATGATGAAACAAAGCGACGGAGTAGAGACACTTATGATGTGGAAAACCCAGAAGCGAGGCTGTGAGATGGGAGCGAATGCGTCATAGCAAACTGTGGAACATCCTGGCTGCAGTGTGTTGCACACAAACATCTCTTGCTCATCAGTGTACACATCCTCAGTCGCTACAGCAACGATAAGCAGCCGAAATATGACCATGACAGTGAGCCACAGGCGTCCGATCATAGTGGAGTGATGGTGGACAGCATCCAGGAGACGTTTGAGCAGAGTCCACTCCGTCATGATGTCCTATGACTGCCGGCTGCCTTGAAGATAGAAGATCTGCTTAAAAGAGAGCAGCTTGCATTGAAAATCTCTTCTCCTTCTGAACTTCAACCCTTTGGACTTGCGATACCTTGTAGAATGATATGTGCCTTACAAATCCACCTGGTCAATAAAACCTTTTGCTTCTTCTCTTTTTCTTCTGGCATTTGTTGTTTCTGTGTAGGTTCATCTTTCAGAGCGGCGATCCTCGTTAAAAAGTTTGTAGTAGGCTTCTTCTTTTGCTGAGTATTTCCCAGCACTGACAGCTGCCTAGAGAACGGCGAGTTGATGCAAAAGAGCCATCAGTCTTTCATAGAGAAGGATGTTCACTTTACATGAGTCACTTGGCACACTCAAGCCTCTCTTGTACTGAGGATGCTTTTTAAAACCATGACACCCCCTCCCCCCCTCCTTTATAAATGGAGCCGCTGATAGTGTATAGTGATAAAGCATTCTTCACAGATTAGTCCTCTCAAAGCTAAGGACTCCTTCTCAAATGGATAGACACATTATTACAAAAACAGAACAGAAGGGCCTACCCATTTACAAAGTCTGGACAACTCTTGGCACACAGTAAACACTTGTGTCAGGATTAAAATATTTCCAACCTGGACATAAGAAAACAAGACCATTCAATAAAACAGCACTGTCTTGAGTTGGTCTGGTGTCTGGCAAGGATGTCTGTTTCGTAGACTGTTTTGGCCACTTGTTTCAAGCCACTTGCCAGTGTTGTTATCTGTGTTTTAAAAAAAGCTCACTGAAAGGTCTGCAAGGCCCAAATCATTGCATCCCTCTGATAAAACACTCAGAGATCGCTTTACTTCAAATACATCTCACAGGCTGATCAGTGGAGCAAGTGGAGTCACTGCTTTATGAAGCTAAATGTTTAACAAAATGTGCATGCTTGTTAATTACTGTCGAAGTGAGCACTTGTGCATCAAGATTTACAAACCTGATAAACCTGACCTCTGCCCCTTTTTTCCCAGAATATATTCAAACAAAAGTAATTTACAAAAAACACAAAGCTAAGTAAAAACAACATCAACTCAAACAACTATTTGTATAGATACACATTATACTTTTCCATATTCCTTCAGAAAAGTAACTTTTAACATTTTCTTGAATATGTACATAGATCTGGCAGTTTTAACATCATCCTTCAGACCATTCCACAATCCTATTCCCTGAATTTATAGTAGACCACTCCTTCAAACTGGTATGAAACCACGGCTTCACAAACATCTCTATCCCCTTGAGACAATAACCACTCTCCCTTTTAACAAAATTTACTTGGATATTTGAAGGCAGCATGTTTTTGTGAGCTTTATACTTTGTACATAAACAGTAAAATATTATAAGCAACCAAGTCATAGAATTTCAATATCTTCAGTTGATAAAACAATGTATTTGATGGATGGCTATAATATTTTATAGTGATAATTCTTACAGCTCTTTTCTGTAAAATAAAAATAGGAATTGTAATTGTTTTACATGCTTTACCTCAGACGTCAATACAGTAAATTAAGTGTGGGACATTTATTGCATTATACAACATAAACAATGCTTTATCATTGAGTAACTCCCTTACTTTGTACAGTACTGCAATAGATTTAGCTATTTTTGTTATTAAATTAATTATGTGAGGTTTCCATGTCAGGGCAGCACGGTGGCGCAACTGGTAGACCTGCTGCCTCTCAGCGAGCAGGTCCCTGGTTCAAACCCCGGTCCAGGGGTCCTTTCTGGGTGGAGTTTGCATGTTCTCTCCGTACATGCGTGGGTTTTCTCCGGGTGCTCCGGTTTCCTCCCACAGACCAAAAACATGCATGTTAGGCTGATTGGTAACTCTAAATTGTCCCTAGGTGTGAGTGAGAGAGTGAATGGTTGTTTGTCTCGTTTGTCTCTATGTGGCCCAGTGATGGACTTGCAACCTGTCCAGGGTGTACCCCGCCCCTCGCACAGTGATTGCTGGACATGGGCACCAGCGACCCCCGTGACCCAAAATGGAATAAACGGGTAAAGATAATGGATGGATGGATGGATGGATGGATGGTTTCCATGTCAGTTTTTCATCAATGATGACACCCAGAAACTTCACTTCACCGACTCTACAAATCTCAACACCATCAACTCTAAATGGAGCATCAACAGTTCTTTTACTGTTACAGAATATCATGTAATTTGTTTTATCCAAATTTAATGATAATTTGTTTAGTTGAAACCAATTATGTATTTTTACAAATTCTGTCTGTACTGACTCCAACACTCGTTCTATATCTTTACCCGAACAAAGACATGTAGTATCATCTGCAAATAAAACACATCTAAACAGTCCTGACACATTTACCAGGTCATTTATATATAAAATAAATAACTTAGGTCCAAGTACAGAACCTTGAGGCACTTCACATGTGATGTTACAAAGTTCAGATCTTACATCAACAAACTGTTTCCTTTCTTCTAAATAACTAAATGTCCACTGTAATGCTAGCCCTCTAATACCATATTTATTTAGCTTTTCAAGAAGAATACTGTGGTCAATAGTATCAAATGCGTTCTTTAAATCAACATAAATACTAACACAATACTTTTTTTGATCAACAGCAGTTATTTGTTCTATTCAATTCATGAGAGCCATTGATGTAGAATTTTTAGGTCTAAACCCATATTGACTGATACTTAATATATTCTGTTTATCGATAAATTGATCCAATCTAATCACAAATAACTTCTCTAAAATCTTCAAAAACTGTGGCAACAAGGATATTGTCTGTAATTGTTAAACACGTTCTCACCATGTTTTAAAAAGAGGAATTACCTTGGCTATTTTCATGATGTTTGGAAATATTCCTGTTGAGAATGATAAATTACATATATATATGTAAACGGCTCAATAACATAATTCATTATATTCTTTACAAACATCATATCCATGTCCACCCAATCTTTTGATCTTTTGTCTGCAAGATTTTTTTTACAATATTCATTATTTCTTCTTTGTAAGTTCCATCAAGGAAAATACTGACTGTATGATTCACTTTTTTATCTACTTTTGGAATTTTAGTTGCGAGATTTGGGCCAACATTCACAAAATAATGATTGAATCCATTTACAATTTCATTTTGATCATGGATTTCTTTACCATCCTTTACAAAATACTGTGGAATACTTGATTTTACTTCATGATTTTTCAGGACACTATTCATTATTTGCCATGTTGCCCTCATATTACATTACCATTTAGTTTTCTTTGTAATGAATGATTCACAAAACTGCATCAAAAACATGAGTCTGACCCCGGACTGCCCATCAAGCACATTGTTTTGGCCCGACTCGGCCCGATCTGAAATTCGGGCCGAGTCGGGCCTGGGCTCAGGCTCGGGTTAGAAATCGCATCTCTACCTCTTGTGTGTTTCTCCTTAAGGCCCTCACATACTCAGGCGTACTGTGTGTACTCCGTGAGCTGCGTGGACTCCACACGTACTGTCTACAGACGGTTAAGACTTCATACTCGAGCGTACAGATTATTTCTGTCTCCCGGCATTTTACAAAGGTGTCCAGCCAAGACAGCATAGAAAAAATAGGTGGGACACCTCCCTTTGCACTATCCCCACTTTTACCTTTCATCTTTTTTTTTGCCTTAAAACATCTGTCCCTGAGGTACTTCCATTTAGCTCGACAAAGTGCCTCGTCCTTGCAGGGTCGGAGCTATTTCCTAACACAAATTTCTTATTCTCTGAAATATTGTTAAATTATAATTTTTTTATTAATGTTTTTGTTCATTTATTATGTTTATATATAAATATTTCTGTTCAGTGACCTGAGATAACGTCTGTCGTGACTTGGCGTGATATAAATAAACTGAACTGAGCCGTTATCTGAGAGTGGTTGGTGTCGCATACAAAACAGTTTGATGTGAACAGTGTTTCTCGCGGGGCAGTTTATTGTGCGACACTAAGAATGCAGGCTGGCGCCAATTTGGAGGTTTCAGCTCAGATTGGTTGGAGAGTTGGAAAGGACCAATCAGGACTCAGTAACAATTGGGCTCGTAGGGGATCTATTTTTTTTTTTTTTTTTTTTGAGCTGCAGACAGCCATGGTAGTTGATGAGTTTTTGTAACTGTGTTTAAAGATGAGCTGCTTTGACTTCCAGGATTTTCTTCATGCTCCTAGTTATGAGAAGGTGGAGCTATACCGTAGAGAGGACTTGCTATGCATTGCAGAACATTTTCACATTCCCGTGAAGAGGCAGGAGGTTAAGAAAGAAATGAAGGATACAGTATTGCAGAAATTAGTTGAGCTAAAGGTCCTTGAGGAACTAAATATGGCGGGTCTAGATGATTATGATGTTATTCGTAAGACCTTTATATATAAAATTACATTGACAAAAATATAATTATAAGACCTAGCATTCTTTTGAAGGACTTCACATCAACCCCCTTCATCAATGCCAGTTTTAAATAAGATAGTCTTGTGTTGAAAAATGACCAGCACTCCACAAATACGTTGAAGATGATTCTCATCAACGATCATACCAAATTTTAGATCATTATCAATAAAATGGACTGAGTTAAAGTCATTTTCCTGGAAAAATGTGCACTGAAGAGTCAATGTCACTGTGTTCCAGTGTGAAGTCAAGTGTAACTCGTCTGGAGTCAGAATACTTGAAAACATGTTTTGTATTTTTGTTGGTGTAAACGGTGTCATGCATGTTGTTGTCCTTCCTGACGCAACTTACAGCCTCAGGATTACAAGACCGCCAATATCCCAGCCCTCACCTATTAATGTGTCTGTATTGTGTTAACTATACTGCCATTTTATATTTATATTTGCCTTTTTTTTTTAAAAAGTAACAAAATAACACACAGGTTTCCAAATACCAACTTTGCTTTGTTGATTACACGTTATATCAGGATGTTCAAAACATCATTATAGAGACTTCCTGTTTGCTATTTCAGGATCACGAGAGCACAAATGAACTAAAACACCTTGAAACTGTTTATTGTGTTTTATTTATTTGTCCTATTTATAGTGGATCAACACATTCAAGAAAATGATGCACCTTTCTTTAGATGCTTATTTTATTCAATTTGATAGAAGTCACTTAAAGTAAACAAATGGTGAAATGGTTGCTAAACTGAATACAGCCTCTTTTCCAGGTCATCCCTTAACTTTGCTTTAAAATGCAGTGGATTTAGAAAGAATAAATATTGTTATAATCATCCATCCAGGGTCTGTAAGGCAGTTTGATGTTTGTTCTGGGCAGTTCTTATCGCATCTTTTATTCATCTTCCTGTTTTGCACACCCAGTGTCAGAATGTGTTGCTTCCTGTTTAAACGATACAAATCTTGTAGAAAATTTTCAAAGTTCAAATTTTCAAAAATACTGATTATCAGGAATCTAAAACTACTCCACTGCTGCTGCAATGTGCTTACATTTTAAGCATAAATGCCGGCGTGTCAATTAATACGTTCAGCTATAGGTGAAGCTGTGTTAAGGGTTACCATGGTAACACAGGACAGACTTATTTAAACAGGTTTAATGAAGCAAAAGAAACTGAAAATGATATAAAGTCTGATTTAATTGTTAATTTGGGGTTAAAAGGGATACAATGTGGTAAACAAATAGTGGCAATTTATGCAGAAATCAGTGCAAAGGGCAGGGCAGACGTTCATGGTACAGCCTTGGATCCTTACAGGTCTCCTTCGTATCAAACCTGACATGTTTTCTGGAAAACAAAAAGGCAGCTGCGAGGCATAGAAGTGTTTCACATCAAGAGGCCCCTGCTACAAAAACAAGAATTCAAGGCGGGTTTTCAACCCACATTGTTCAGGAATTCAACCTTAAGACAAAAAAAAAAAACGGCGGCAGAAACTACACCAGAGCAACTTCTGCGTTTCCCAGTTTCACATCATAGATTTCACGACCGTTTCTATAAACCTTTAAGGTGAAAAACAAAGTGACGGCATTGAGGATGTTATTTAGATCCTTGATCAGCAACTTTCTTGTCCTTTCTCCACTCACGCAATAACAGAATCATTAGTACATAAAGTAACAACTGTTAACTCGCAACTAAGTTGTTTTGTGTGACAACTAACACATTTTTTTTAATTTTAAATCTCATTTTTCATCTGTAAATGATCCTCTATTTCTATAATTTCCTGTCCACTTCTTCTCTGCTCTAAAACGTCTGAATAAGAAAAAGCCTAGCTCTCGATGTATAGTCCACGTTTCATCTGATCACGAAGCGTCTTGTGATGAAGCCACTGGTTGAAAACAAACAATGATCGTTTTTTCAGAGGGCCGTGTCTTCAGAGCCAAAAAGCTGCGTGGCGATGGCTTGGTAGTCAGCTACTGAACCTTTACCATCAAAATCTGAAGGCAGGATATCTGCGTCAAATTCCTTGAAGTAGTTTTCCAGCTCATCCCCATGAACAAAGACCTGGGAAAAGTTTCACAAAAGAATGAGTGACATTGATAATACATAAGTGGGTCCCAAATTAAGAGCATAACGGCTTGTGTGCATACTCTCTCCAGAAGTTTGGCCTTCATGAAGGGTTTGACCACGTTGTAGGTGGTGGTGAAGTACCAGGGCTGGTGAATGACATGAACTGCTTTGAAACGAGCAGGAAAAGAGTCCTGAAGACACACAGGCAAACGTAAGAACTGTAGTTGTGAGGTTATACTTTGAATTAATTGTAGAATCTCTTTTCGTAGTCCGCTCTGACCTGCAGCATGTCCACCATCTTTTTAAGCTCAGCGGTCTTTATTCCCGAAGCGTGCTGCATAGTGAAGCCTTTAAAATTCTCAATCAGGACAAAGCCATTGATCTGAGTCTCTTCGCTTTCAAGCAGCTTCTCCAGAATCACACAGTACGCCCTCAGGACCTGTTTCAAATGCAAAGACATTTAGTAGTGCACAACATTTTAAAACCACCCCTGATTCCCTCATATCTTGCCAATTTTTCTTGTAATCTTAAAAGTGGTCTTAATCAATAGTTTTCCGCACTTCCTGAAGGTCTTTGAATATTTTCTCTGCAGTTTTTTTTTTTTAATACAAACGTTCTGTCCAGTCCTCGTATCCTTGGCTGTGATACGGAGTTACGAAAGGAACAAGCACACGTAGAGGACAGAAGAAAACATGACAGGTCTGAGACACAATTTTAAACAAGTGAACAACAAATCAGAGTTGTGCCTTTGAGGAGTAGGGGGAAACAATCCAGCAAAGCCCTGACGAGACCCGAGAGATGCATCATTGTTCAGTTCATCATTGAATTCAGGCCAAGTTTTCAACTAATGGCTCTTTGTTGGTGCTAAAATACTTTTATGTGCTAAAAAGTTTCATACTAAAATAATTTAGAGCACATTATTTGATTGAGACAAGTGGTAGTAAAAAAAAAACATGTTAAAATTTTAATAACTTGCCCGTCATGTGTCAACGCCCTGAGTCATCATTGAGTTTAGGAGTCTTATTATTATTATTATTATGCATTGTCTCCCGGTTCACTTTCAAATTCAATTTAAAATCCTTCTGTATGTTTTTAAATCTCTGAACAGTTCATGCCTCCTCTTTTCTCACTGATCTGCTGCAGCCATATGTCCCACAGCGCTCTCTGAGGTCTGCAGACCAGGTGCCTTTATTGGTTCCCGGAACCCATCTTCAGCTCAGAGGTGACAGGACCTTCTCTGCTGCAGTTCAAAACTGTGGAATGAGTTGCCACTGCATGTCAGGCAGGCCCCTCACTTACTGTTTATAAGTGTCGTTTAAAAACTCACTTTTATTCCCTGACTTTTTTGACACTGAGTTGATTTTAACTTGTCTGTATTTCATAACGTTAGTCATTTAGTTCTTATCTTTACCTATTTGGATTTATGTGTTTTATCATGTGTCCTTTGCTTGTTTGTTTTGCTGTACAGCACTTTAGTTGCCATTGTTGCTCTTTTTAAGTGTTTTATAAATAAAGTGGTGTGGTATGGAATGGTATGGAATGGTATGGAATGGTATGGAATGGTATGGAATGGTATGGAATGGTATGCTAGAATGATGATAGGTCAGAACGAAGTGGCAAATTTTGTTTTACGTTTTCTGAAAATGGTCATATGCCAAAATGAAAGTAATAATAAAAACACCCAAAACCCAAAGAAAAGACTTTAAATCTGTGAGAACTCCTGAAGAGCTATTGCTCAAATGGGTTCAAAGACAGTCGGACTCCTTGGACGCAAACTCTGAAGAAACGAAGGACTACTCTAAACTTGAACGGCAATGTTGTGTTTTTACAAATAGCGCCAAAATGTTTTGCCCAAAGTTCTTTAAACGTTCAGGTGCAATCATGTCACAATGCTGCCTTTACAGCTACCTCATCAAAAGTGATCTCCTCCAGGTCCCAGTTGTTGATGTTGAAGAGCAGGACCACACGACCAAGCCTGTCTCTGGTAGGCAGAACTACCGGATATCCTGCCTCGATGGTGCTGCGGACGGCCTCGGGGGTCAGGTTCTCGAACAGCTCAGGATACTCCTTCCTGAAGCGCACATAACCTAAGGACCCAACAAAACAGACTTTTCCTTACGTGGAAACTAAAGCTGAGCTCATACTGGGCAACATTTCTACAGGTTACTGATGGACTGAACACAATGGTCGTATTGTCCGGGCCTCATCACGCTGAGGAACCAATTAACCAGCAGTGAAAAGAATCCAGCATGTGTACCATAACAGAAACATTCATCTTTTACACAAACAAATCATCTATTTGTATATGTACATGTGAGTATTTGGGTTTCTGTCTATTAATGCACCAAAGATTTAAAGAATAATAAAATATGTACAATATTTTTGTTAGTTTGATCTAATGGGGACACAAATGATTTGGCACTGTATTATCATAAAGACGACCGATGGAAAATGCAAACGTGTCACACTAAATGTGTGCTTAGTGAGAGCTGAGCAGGCAGTTTGAACAAAAAGCAGGTCAGGTGGTGTCAAATGAAGCTGTTCTCTTTTTAATCAGCCAGACCATCACCGTCAGTGGCGTTCCCATCACAACACATTACATAAACTTGTCCAAGTTGGACACAAAGAAGAGCTTTATCAGATGAAACCTCCGAGGCATTTCAAAGCTCCCAATTAATGAACACACGGCTCTCTGTTTCAGAGACGGACGAGAAGCATCCGCATCAGGAAACAAAAGAGATCTCATCCCCAATTACTGAAGCTGCTACAAAAACTGAATCAAAGCACGAGGATGCTGGAACGACAGTCAGACCTTTGAGCAAGAAAACTGGAATAAAAAGCTCTCGTGAAGTTGTGCAGACTTACAGGCTGCCGCTCACCTTTCATAAGCTCGTGAGCCCTGATAACTTCAAATTTGCGTGCTCGGAGGAAACGCAGGAGCAGAGAGTCTGGTTTGTCCTTAAAGCGCTGCTGCACCAGTTTGGCCAAGTCGTCTCCTTCTGCCGCCCTTTCCTTCATCACGGCCCGGAGGCCCTTCAGCGATGAGGCCCGTCTCTCGTCCGTCTCATTCAGCTCGTCCTTCGCCTGCACAACTCAAATAAAAACACTTTGCAAGCTAACGCCACATCTGGAAGGAAACGAACACCACTGCTCCCATACTCTGATCAGGACTAATCTTTGTCTGCTGTGTGACCTTTTGCACGGTGTGGCCGGGCAGTTTGTGGCACGGTCCGAACACCGGCCCGTGATCCTTCACCGTCAGACGCTCCAACTTTGACCTCATTGCCTGCTCTTCTTCTGAAACCAGACGGAAAGTTCCAGTCTGCAGACACACGACAAAGTCGATGTTTAATGTTACATCAAACAGTGTTTTTCACTTTTAGTCTGTCAAAGCACAACGTTTCCATAATCTGTTTCACATGAGCAGAAAAAGGACCCGTGTGGCCATTTTAACAGGGTCTGTGTCAGAACCAGCATGTGCTCTGGCACAACAACAGCATGAGGCAAGCTGACAGTCAAATCTCCTGAAACAAATTTCATCCTGACCGGATTTAATCTCTGAACAGCAGCAACACACTGACCCAACCAGTATAAGTGACTCTAAAAACTATTCAGTAACATTTTAGAGGAGTCCAACTCACGGCAGCCATGTTCGCAGCTTCTCAGAGCAGCTCCTGCAACTGTGCACAGGACAAGAAAAAAAGAATGGGCTCAAACAGAACAACTCATCACAACCTAAAAGTACCCTAAACACATATATAATATTAGATAATAATGCAACATATAAACATTTAACACACCATTAAGAAGCAGTTACAGTGTGTGAGTTAAAACAGAGAATGAGTAATTTGGGCCAACATTTATTTCTGTAGAGGTTTATGAAGCATTCAGACTGTCGTGATCCATTTTTAATCCGTACATTTTTAGCTTCTTTCTCGTTCCACAGTTTTTGTGCTATTTCAACAAATCATAAATCAAAACATTCAGCTCGTTCAGAAGTGCGCTATGACTTTTGGTATTCATGCAACTTTAGCGTTTTAAAATATTTAGCTTTTTCTGCCATTTTTCAATCAAAGGAAATGAACTGAGCTCATTTTACATCCTTCAAATCTGTTTACAAACTTTTACTGCTTCTTTCACAGTTTGTTCCAGTTCATCTTCTTTCAGCTTCCTTGCACAAATTCAAACTTTTTTCAGCTACTTTCAGCTGTTTTTTCAGCTGTTTTTCAGCTGTTTTTTCCAGCTGTGTTGTGCTCCTTTCAGGTTCTTTCTGCTAACTACAACATTTTTGTGCTTTTTCTAATTTCTTTCTGCAAGTTTCTGCTTTTTCAGCTGCTATTTAGTTCAACTTTTTTTTAGCCTAATTCAGCAAAAATGTGCTCTCTTCTTTCTGGTATTTAAGCTTCTTTCTTCTGTTTAAGCTACTATTCAGCTGTTTTCTGCAAACTTCTGCTTTTTTTCTGATAGTTATGGTATTTCTTTTTTGTACTAATTTCTGCTTCTTTAATCCTAATTGTGCTCTCTCCACTATCTTCTGGTATTTTAAGCTTCTTCCTGCCTATTTAAGCTACTTTTCAGCTATTTTGTGCTAATGTCAGCTTTTTTAAAGCTAATTTACTAATTTTTGTGCTAATTTCTGCTTATTTAAACCACATTCAGCAAATATGTGTTCTTTCTGCTTTCTTCTGCTAGCTGAGGCTTGTTTTTCCATTTCAGCTACATTTCAGCATGTTTTAGCTCATTTCAGCTGTTTTTCAGCAAGTTCTTCTGCAATAAGCATTCACACTGCATTTTCACAGGAAATGCAACTTCTCTAGTTGTACTCTACATTCTCACTCTTCACTTGTTTTCTTTATCACTGAAATGTTACATTTTAAAAAATTCAAGAAGTTGCTCGCTTGTAAAAGCTTTGAGCATTTATAGAAATGATTGTTTTGTCAAAATAAATTATTTAAGCTTTAAAAGGGATCTAGATAATGAGTAAAAATTTGAATTATCTGAATGAATAAACGCGCATGATTTGATCTTGTATCTGCTTCACTGTGTTCGATAACTTTATAAATGCTACTTTATAAAGTGTTTATAAACTCATGAGTAAACTTTTATGGTTTCCTTAATGTATGTGGCTCAATAAAGTCTGTGGCGTTTTTTCAACTAAAAGAACAAAATAAAAACTTTTTTAAGTAGCTGTTTTCAAAGTTGTGACAAGTATTTTCACAGGAACATCAATAGTTGCTTAATTTTGTGTATTTCTTAACTTTTTGTTTGGTACAGATGGAAACAAAGGTGGTCTCCTGTGTGCAGCAGTTTGTTCAGACTGCGACAGACAAAAGGTAAAATGTGTTATCTTGTGAAACAAATGTTTTTTATAGAGCTGGATGATTAAACGTCTCAGTAACGTAAGTTAGTTTTTTTGTTTTGGTCTCAGTTAACGGTTAACTTTGTAACTTTAAACTGATGAACGATGAGCAAACTGTGACTGAACGGTTTCCTCTGATTCATCTATGCATTTGTTTAAGTTATTAATTAAATCATTCATTAAAAATAAGGAAGATGAAAAGTGTACGTTTGTTCAATAACTTGCATAAGTTAGTTTAATGTGCCTCAGCATCACGACTCTCTGATGTTTCTCTCCAGCAAACATGACAAGTCGTGCCTTTCATTACAATCTTAAACTCACAACAGATCAAAACAAGCGTGTATTACGTTATCGTGTTAAAGTAAATCACATATTTAGTACAATATGTCATTTTAATCAACATCCATTAATTGATTGAGAGCCATAAACAAAGAGAGCAACACTCAACATGTGTTCTAAAGGAGAGATCTGAGCAGCCTTACCTTCAGCAGACAGGACGAGAGACCTGCTGACGAGGAGACGAGCGAGGCAAAGAGGACCGGGAGGAGGGAATACGAGTACGTCACTCAAAACAGGATTAATCTTCCCACGATAGATTACAACAAGTGGATAATCCATATGACCAACTGGAAAGTTGTACAGATACGGAGACGTGAGGAGATATTCTGGATCAAAGTTCATTTTCCAAACTGTTTCATTCCTGTTGAACTGTGTTGAGAAGTTTTCTTACAGTTTAATTTTGTGCTCCTCGTTTTTATTTCTTTAGTAAAACCTAAACTACCGAAGTTAAATGCAGACTCAGAAACTGCTGCACAAACACACAAGAACAGCCTCGAGCGCCTTCACACACCTGAATGAATGTGGAACAGAGGTCGTTTTATGAAGGATTTAATGCGTTGCTGGTGATTTCCTGCTCACTGTTGTGTCAATTTGCATCAAAACTCATTTGTTACTTCATCAGGTAACTCTTCAGGTCCACAGCATGTGGGGTTTTAGTTTGAACCAGCTTCAGGCTGTGAGACGACCACCTGCAAGCATCGCTCACTTGGTCATTTTCACATTAAACATTCCTCCGCACATTCTTTGAAATCCCTCTCAGAGGCAACCACTTGTTTCATGTCCCAGATTACAGATTATTCATCCATGACTGCACAGCATCAGTCAGGCGGACCTCTGCTGTTGTTCCTCTCATTAAGTGCAGTCAGAAAGAAGCAGCTAATGCATCTGCAGCTTTTAATAAACTTTAAGTTTGTCCCATTTTACGCCATATTAGCTAATTGCTGAACCCTGGGCCGGATTTTAGCAGGGGCTTACAGGGGCTGCAGCCCGGGGCCCCGGCATTTCAGGGGCCCCGAAGGATGTTTTATGTTTTTGTGAATGGATAGTGTCAGAATGTAATCAATGACTATGATGATTTTGACAGCACCAATGAAAAATGTTCCAATTTGTTCTGGAAAATGTCCATCTTGAATGCTTGCTTGTTATTGGTCCACTTTTGACGCATCTTACGCATTGGGGAGGAGCGTCAGGGAATATTATTTTACAATGGCAGACAACAATGTTTGTGGTTCTAGTTCCTCCAAATAAGATGAATGCAGAAGTGTCATTAATAAATGGAAATCTGTATTTTGTTCTTCATATTTTTCAAGATGTTCTCTGTAAAAACCTTGG